TCCAATCTAAACCTCCCCTGGCACAACTTGAGGCCGTTTCCTCTCATTCTTTCGCCAGTTACTTGGGAAAAGAGACCAACCCCCCCCTCGCTACAGCCTCCTTTCAGGTGGTTGTAGAGAGCCATGAGGTCTCCCCTCAGCCTCCTTTTCTCCAGGCTAAACAACCCCAGTTCCCTCAGCCGCTCCTCAGCAGACTTGTTCTCCAGACCCCTCACCAGCCTCGTTGCCCTTCTCTGGACACGTTTAGATTTAGGGAGCTCCTCAGTATCTCCCAGGTTGGGACCAAGCCGTAGTTTTCTGGGGCCTCAATGCACTGTGTATTGCTTTTGTAAGTACGGTGGGTGCTCCTTTGCACCCATGATAGATGTGCTAATCTCTGTTTAGGCTGATTTTCACCCTTACAACTGGTATTATAAAGGCGCGTGGCTCTTAGAATCATAGAATCATTAAGGTTGGAAGAGACCTCTAAGATCATCGGGTCCAACCGTCGACCCAACACCACCAGGCCCACTAAACCATGTCCCTCAGCGCCTCATCTACACGTCTTTTAAATACCTCCAGGGATGGTGACTCCACCACTTCCCTGGGCAGCCTGGTCCAATGTTTAACCACTCTTTCAGTACAGAAATTTTTCCTCGTGTCCAAAATTTTTCCTTATGTCTTGCTGCACTGCACTTTCCTTTTGCAGAAGATGAAACCATCGGCTCATCCAGGTCATGCAGCAAAGGTGGGAAGGTCGTCCTGAAACTCCTGGGGTCTGTCAGACCCCAGCCCCGTGTTTTCACGCACGCTGCTTTCTGCACAGGTTGGTGGCAAACAGCTTTCTGCAGCCAATGGACTGTGGTAATAAATAAACAAACAAACATGGGAACAGCAACGAGGAGAACTGGAAAAGCATCGCCCTACGATGGTGACCCAAGGTCTGCGAGGAAGACGTGCAATCAAAAGATTGCAACGGGATCAAGCTTGTCGGCTGTTGAACCTCAAGGATGTGCTTATTTTTAAATACTGTCTGTAATTTCATTTCTCTCAAAGCCGCCACGGCGATTTTTGAGGGTGTAAAACCCATCTCGGTCTGAGATCTGATGCCCACAGAGGCCCCGCACGTGCTCGGGTGTTTCCTGCAGAAAACATTTTGAATTGCATCCGCGTTGCCGTGTCGGGGCTTGCTCCACTAAAAGCGATGAGTGTAATTAATTGCCCTTAATATAATGGGGAGGTAATATGTTAGTGTGCTCTTGGTGGGTGCAAGCCCATATGAACCCGTTGCAACAGCTCCCATTTTGGAGCTAAGGGGTGTCCCAGCTCTGCCCCCAGCAGCGCCTTCGCGCCGGGGTTTGCACAGCACCTTGCATCCATTTGGGGACTGGGGATTTGCACGTGCACGAAGTGGTTTTGAACCTTTCCCTGAGCTTCCCTCATCTGCAACGAGCCTGGGCTCGTCTCGCACGAAAATGCTCGGTCATGCGCTACCCATCGTTTATTATTTTTTCTGGTAAGAAAAGACACGGGCAGAACTGCTCTGTGAGGTTTTGCAGCGTCAGGACACTCCTCGCTGCTCTGCAGATACCAGGCAGACCTGGATGGAGTTAGAAGCTGCAGAATGAAAAAAAAATTGCTTAGCGTCTCCTGCAGTGAAATATGTAGTTGTATATAAATCCCGAAGCATGGCCGCTCATTCACTTTCAGGAATCAGCTATGGAAATAATTTAATCGCTTACGTCAAGTAAAATCCATTAGCTCTAATCAGCCAAATTGATTTGCTGGCTGCAAACCTCTCTCGGAGAGGGTGGGAGCTAAATAAATAAAAAA